CAAAGTTTTGTATTGTTTTCAACTTTACCGAAATATGACGAATGAAAACCAAACTAATGGAAGTGTTGCGGGAACGGGTGCTACTGTTACGAGTGCTGCTGCCTCGTCAAGCCGTTCTACTCCTGCTCATGCTATGGCACCGGCAGAAAAACCCGGAATGTTTTCCGGTATTGACTTCAAACACTGGCAAATGAAGATGCTCTTCTATCTTACTACGTTGAGTTTGCAACGTTTCATCAAGGAAGATCCTCCGATCATGGCTGAAAATACTGCGAATGATGAACGACTTGTTGTAACTGAAGCATGGAAACATTCTGATTTCCTGTGCAAAAATTACATTTTGAGTTGTTTGGAAGATGGCTTGTATAATGTCTATAGTGTCATGGAAACTTCAAAAGCTTTTATGGAATGCGCTTGAGAAGTACAAGACTGAGGATGCAGGACTTAAGAAGTTCGTGGCTGCAAGGTTCTTGAATTTCAAGATGATTGACACTAGGTCGGTCATAACTCAAGTCCAAGAACTACAAGTCATTGTACATGAATTCCTTGCTGAAGGTATGACCCAAATCAATAATTTTATTAATAAGATTTATCTTATTATTAATAATGAATTTGTTATTGAAGGTATGGTCATAAATGAGGCCTTTCAAGTCGCTGCTTTCACTGAGAAGTTACCTCCGCTGTGGAAGGATTTTAAGAACTATCTTAAACACAAACGGAAGGAAATGACACTAGAAGACTTGATTGTTCGTTTGAGGATAGAAGAGGACAACAAAAATGCTGAAAAGAAGTCACGTGGACACTCGACAATAATGGGGGCAAACATTGTTGAGGAGGCACCACAAAATAAGAAGAGGAAGAAAGCTTCTGGACCAAAGAATTACCCAAGTAAGAAGAAGTTCAAGGGTAATTGCCACAACTGTGGAAAATCTGGGCATAAGGTTGTGGATTGTCGTGCGCCAAAGAATGATAAGAAGAAAAAGAATCAAGACAACATGGTTGAAGATGAAATGGAAGACTTGTGTGCCATGTTGTCTGAATGCAACTTGGTAGGAAATCCGAAAGAATGGTGGATAGATTCTGGAGCCACCTGCCATGTTTGTGCTAACAAGGAGTTATTTTCTTCTTATGCCCCCGCAGGTCCCGACGAGATAATCTTCATGGGAAATTCATCTACGGCCAAAATTGAAGGAGTTGGCAAGATTGCGTTGAAGATGACGTCGGGAAAAATAGTGACTCTAAACCAAGTCCTCCATGTTCCAGAAATTCGCAAGAATCTTGTGTCTACCTCACTTCTTGTCAAGAATGGATTCAAATATATTTTTGTTTCTAATAGTGTTGTACTAAGTAAGAATGATTTGTATGTAGGAAAAGGTTATCTAAATGAGGGCCTTTTTAAGCTAAATGTAATAGCAGTTCCTATCAATAAAGAGAATGCTTCTTACTTGCTTGAGTCAAACACTTTATGGCATTCGCGTTTAGGTCACGTAAACTTCAAAACATTGCGAAAGATGATAAATCTAGAAGTATTGCCAAAATTTGATTGCATTAATTCCAAATGTCAAATATGTGTGGAATCAAAGTATGCTAAGAATCCTTATAAGTCCGTTGAAAGGAATTGAAGTCCTTTAGACTTAATTCACACAGATATTTGCGACATGAAGTCAACACCATCTCGCGGTGGGAAAAAATATTTTATTACTTTTATTGACGATAGCACGAGATACTGCTATGTTTATTTACTTAATAGTAAAGATGAGGCAATTGATGCTTTCAAGCAATACAAGAGTGAAGTTGAAACGCAACTAAACAAAAAGATCAAAATGATAAGAAGTGATAGGGGTGGCGAATATGAATCTCCTTTTGAAGAAATATGTTTGGAAAATGGCATTATTCACCAAACAACTGCCCCTTACTCTCCACAATCTAATGGAATTGCGGAGAGGAAGAATCGAACGTTGAAGGAGATGATGAATGAATTGCTAATAAGTTCTGGCTTACCACAGAACTTGTGGGGGGAAGCTATACTTACAGCTAACCAAATAATCAACCGTGTACCTCATAGTAAAACACAATCCATCCCTTATGAGAAGTGGAAAGGAAGGAAGCCTAGCTTGAAATACTTCAAAGTTTGGGGGTGTTTAGCTAAGGTACAAGTTCCTAAACCTAAAAGGGTTAAGATAGGTCCAAAAACGGTTGATTGTGTGTTTATTGGATATGTAACCAATAGCAAGGCATATAGTTTTCTGGTTCATAAATCAGAAAATCCTGAGATTCACATTAATACGATAATAGAATCAGATAATGCTGAATTCTTTGAAACTATTTCTCCATATAAAAAGGAAAGTGAAGTGACCTGCCAAAAGTCAAAACGATTTCGGGAGGAAATAATAGAAGATATGCCTAATGAAGAAAATCCGAGAAGAAGTAAACGTCAAAGGACATCTACTTCATTCGGTCCAGATTTTCTGACTTTTCTGTTAGAAAATGAGCCTCGTACCTTCAAGGAAGCAATGTCCTCCTCAGAGGCACAATATTGGAAAGAAGCTGTCAATAGTGAAATAGAATCCATATTGAGCAACCATACTTGGGAATTGGTTGATCTTCCTCCAGGTAACAAAATATTGGGTTCTAAATAGATTTTCAAGAAGAAAATGAAAGACGATGGTACTATTGACAAATACAAGGCAAGACTTGTTGTCAAAGGATTTAGACAACGAGAAGGTCTTGACTATTTTGACACATACTCACCGGTAACAAGAATTACATCCATTCGGATGCTAATAGCGTTAGCCGCCTTGTATGGTCTTCAAATCCATCAAATGGATGTAAAAACAGCCTTCTTAAATGGTGATCTTGAGGAAGAAATTTACATGAACCAACCTGAAGGGTTTGTGGTTCCGGGAAAAGAAAAGAAGGTGTGTAGACTTGTTAAGTCTCTTTATGGACTAAAACAAGCACCCAAACAATGGCATGCGAAATTTGACCAAACAATGTTGTCAAATGGTTTAAAGATTAATGAATGTGATAAATGTGTTTACATTAAGAACGTTCCAAAACATATAGTCATTGTTTGCTTATATGTTGATGATATGCTAATAATGAGCAAAGACATTGCCGACATTCAAGCTACTAAGCGCATACTTGCTAGTAAGTTTGATATGAAAGACTTAGGAGTTGCCGATGTAATTCTAGGAATTAAAATCCAGAGGACTCCTCAAGGTCTAGCTTTGTCTCAATCACATTACGTGAAAATGGTACTTGAAAAATTCAAACACTTGGAATTTAGAAGTACAAGAACTCCAATTGACTTAAATCATTATCTCATAAAGAATAAAGGTGAAAGTACATCTCAATTGGAGTATGCTCGTGTGTTGGGAAGCTTAATGTACATCATGAACTGTACACGACCTGATATAGCTTGTGCGATAAGTAAACTTAGTCGATTCACAAGTAATCCCAACAAACATCACTGGGTAGCAATGAAATGAGTTCTGGGATATTTGGAATATACCCAAGACTACCTTTGCACTACAATAAATATCCTGCGGTTATCGAAGGATATAGTGATGCTAATTGGATAACCGGCTCATCAGAAACAAAGTCCACAAGTGGATATGTTTTTACTGTTGGTGGAGGAGCAATATCTTGGAAGTCTTCCAAACAAACGTGCATTGCTCGCTCTACAATGGAATCAGAGTTTATAGCTTTGGATAAAGCCGGTGAAGAAGCTGAATGGCTTCGTAATTTTTTAGAAGACATTCCATTCTGGCCAAAACCTTTGGCTCCTATCTGCATACATTGCGATAGTGAGGCTGCAATAGGACGGGCAGAGAGCGTTATGTATAACGGAAAGTCTCGTCATATACGACGAAGACATAACACCATTAGACAACTACTTTCTAGTGGAATTATCACTATTGATTATGTAAGATCAAAGGATAATGTGGCGGATCCGCTTACAAAAGGCTTAACTAGAGAGGGAGTTGAGAAATCATCTAAGAGAATGGGACTATGGCCGAAGACAAGTCAACATGGCGGTAACTCTACCTAGAATTTTGGATGTTCCGAGATCTAGGTTCAAGGAGCTCCAACAAAGTTGTGATTGACCGGTTCAACATTGTCAAAATAAAATCTTTGGTCAATTCTCGTGATGAAGACAATGTTCAGTAACAAGGATAGAACTTTATACGTTCTTTAATGATTACCTAAGTTTGATGAGGTATTTATCAAATAGTGTCAATCTAAAGGATTACACGTTTAGGAATCACCTATGTAAGTGTGAAGTGGAAGCCGCTTCAATGAGAATTTTGTAAGGCCAATTCTCTACGCACTTATGAAACCAGGCGGTGTTCATGGCTAAAATGAACACAACAATGAGAACCAAAAGACGGTTAAGGGTTGGTTGTGTGACATATGGTTGTCTAGGTATACACTAAAGTTCGACGGTTCAAAGATATCAAATCTACCGATTGACCGAGTATATCCGACATATGTTCACTACGGAAAGTTCAAAGGGAAACCTACTTATCCAGATGTAATTAATCCTTACTTGCAAAATCACATAGCTTTCATCTATGATATTTCTTGATACAGCCATTCCCATTCATGTGGGGGATTGTTGGACTTTAAGCCATTGGGCTTTAAAGTAGAAGAAGTGTAAATTGGAAATGGAGGGAAATAAAATGGAGGGAAATTGAAAATTTGAAGAAGTGAACTTTTGTCTTGCACTTTGTCCCTCATTGGTGAGGGACAACCACATTTGTGTGCTTATATATAGAATAACTTCTTAAAGCTCTTAAAAGGAGTTGAAGAGAATGAACCCTCGCACCGTCGTCGTCGCTCGCTCGGCTCGGCTTCGGCTTTGGATTTGGATTTGGAAAATGATCGATAAGATTATTTTTGGACAAAATTTATTTAGTTATTTAATAATTAAATAAATGCCAAATCACTGCTGAAAATACGCCAGAACACAGTAACGTTCACACGACATCATAAAGGCGTGTACTTTTTAGGCTTACCTAGATGCCATGGCCAGGTTGTAACTTTTCTGATCATATTTTATACAGCTGGACAGGAGAAGTTCAGGACATTGACAATCAGAGGTGCTCAGGGAATCGTTCTTGGTATGTCATGAATGAAGGAATATTTCATACCATGCATGCTAGAGGGGGCTACATGCCATTTTGTTGTTTGAGTTGAGAGCCATCCAAATTTCTCTTCGTATTCAGTTCATGTGCATGCATATGTTGTGAATAGAGAATTTTTGTTTTGTTATTATACTGGTGAAAGCGGATGTTATTGTCTTCAGAATTATATTTATGCTTCTAAATGAAATGTTAGTGCTTAAGGAACTTACATCGTACCAAGATGAGAATGCTTTCATTTGTTTAGAGTGGATGATTTTAGAACTCTTCGAAATTTTTAATACTATTTCTTTCTCTATATTCCCCTCTTGGAATTCTGTCCAGCAAATTAAGTAGACTGAAAAAGCATCGTCATCACAAACATTTAGAAGCTTTTTGCAACAGAAATGTGAACTGACTGTTGTCTTAATTCCTAAGTCCCCTTATCTGAGCATCATGTAGCCATGTTGATGGGCTCTTACGAGCACCTAACGGAAACATATGATGACATGCAAATGATGGATTTTCATTTTTTTATCTGGGAAATCTTCAAATACTTGTCAACGAAATTAAGCTTTCCTAGTTGCATCAGCAAAAGAAGCATTTTCCTGCCTTATTTGTTGTGCAATACTATGTCTTCTCTAAATTTGTGATTGCGTTTCTTTTCTATGTTCATAATATCTGATCGCTGTTACTATAAATCACAGTTTACGATGTGACAAGGAAAGACACATTCACAGACCTATCTGATGTGTGGGTAAAAGAGGTGGAGCTTTACTGTACTAATGAGGATTGTATCAAAATGCTGGTTGGAAACAAAGTTGACAGAGTAAGTCCTGCGACAGTGAATATGCTTGTATATGTTCTTGAAAATCTTCACCTTCCCAACTCATAAAAAAAATATACCACATGAATAGAAGTGGATTTACAAGAATTAATTCTAGACATATTCAAGAATAGATACTGTTTCTCGTGATTTGAATACGAGTGTCACTTAGGCATATAAAATTGGATTATGAATCTTCATCTCTTTATATTCATTTCTGAATCAAAATATCATGGTGGATACAGATCTAAAAACATTGATGTTTGGTAATTGGTATTATATCAGTTTATAGATGCTCTAACCGACCTTTGATGGAAAATCTTTACTAAAGTTTACCTTAATGAGATATTTGCTGATGGTTTCATTATATAGACTTTGATAGAAGATTATGACTTCTGCATGGAAAATCCTGATTACCCCAACCAAAATCCAAACTAATGATTGGTCTTGACACTTTGGAAACTTGTTGTCACTTCCTTTTTCTTTCCCTTTTGTTCCCTTTGTCTCCCTAACTTTGAGTTGCTGCTGTTTCCTATCCTAATTTACGTTCACCCATTTTGTCTCATGACACAAGGGTAATACCTTGACTTTTTAATACCTATTGGTGCAAGTATTCCAAAAGCCATGACATCTTTTTACACTTAAGATAACTATAAAATATTACTTGAAAATCACAAAAGAGCATGCCTTCCGGGCATTTCTTGATGTTGACGAGATATTAAAGATGAGGGTCTATCGGAAACAATCTCTCTATCTCCACAAGGCAGGGTAAGGTTTACGTACATATTACCCTCCCCAAACCCCACACTGTAGGAATACACTGGGTATATTGTTGTTGTTATTCTTGACGAGATATTCAAGATTCACCTTGTTGAGGAATATCGTGGGTTAACTAGCACACAATTACACACAAAGCAAATAGAGAAGAAAAATCAACACAAGGATTTAATGAGGTTCGGCTAAGCCTAATCCTCGGGGCAAAAGCAGAGAGAGTTTTCCACTATGAATGAGAAGAAAAGCACAATACAATCTCTAGGATCCCCAACTACAACCCCTATATATAGATCCCAAAATGTCCCAAACAAATATCAGAAAGGTTTCCCAATTTGACAAGGACTATAGGTTTTCCTTTCCCAAATCTATTAGGACAATGGATTTTCCTAAACCTATAGGCACTATGAGTTTCCTAAAAATACAAGGAAATAATTCAAGCCACAAATAACAAATCTTCCCCTTGGCTTGAATTCTCTTCATCAATAGGAACAACGTCTCTCTACCTTGCCCTCAGCCCTCGCAAGGGCTTATCCATTTTCGCACACATCAACCAAGTCTAGGCAACACCTAAACTTGTTAAGAGACTCAATCTCTTTAGCCATATCACTAAAAACGCACAACGGTCTCTGCAACTGCCAAAGCAAATCCCACTAGATTCGTATATCCAAGAAGATTCCCATCAACTACGTTTGCAAACCTTTGCGGTCGGTTGATCACTCTCTTCTCTCTGCCTGTTGCAATGATATATGGTTGTTGTTGCGCAGGTGCATCAACATTATCATCTTGATCAATGTTTTGCACCTCCTCCACTTCCTCTACTTTAGAACTCCTAGGCTGAGCTAGTGGAGATTCAATTTCTAGCTCTATGCGGTCACTGACACCACGATCTGTTTCTGCTATTGTCTTCTCCCTCTGACTGTCCAGTGAGGCAGATTCATTGAATGTTACATCCCTACTGATAATTAGCCTGGAGTCTTTTGATATGTGCACCAGAACCTATATCCTTTCACTCCAGTTGCATACCCTAGAAATATGCACTTCTTTGCCATCGACTCAAGTTTTCCATCCCTCACATGAGCATAAGCAGGACAACCAAATATCCTTAAATTTGAATAATCAGTAGGGAAACCGGACCATACCTCAAAAGGAGTTTTGAACTCAATAGCTGTGGATGGAGATCTATTGACCAAATAACAAGCTGTATTGATTGCTTCAACCCAAAAATCTTTGCTAACACATGAGTGTGAAAGCATGCTTCGTGCCCTATCACAAAGCGTTCTATTCATATGTTCTGCAACACCATTTTGTTGTGGTGTTCCAACACAAGTGCGGTGTCTCACTATGCCCTCCCTGCTGCAGAAATTATCGAACTCAGAATTGCAAAATTCTAACCCATTGTCAGTTCGAAGACGCTTAACTTTCTTTCCATTTTCCTCTCAACCATCGTCTTCCAATTAACAAATGTCGAAAATGCCTCATCTTTTGTTTTCAGAAAATACACCCATAATATCCTTGAGTAATCATCAATCAAAGTCATAAAATACCTAGCACCACTCTTGGAGGGAACTCTGTTTGGACCCCACAAGTCAGAGTGTATATAATCTAACTTGTCTCTGGTCTTGTGCTCGGCCTTCTTGATGAACTTTACCCTTGTCTGTTTACCAAACACACAATGCTCACAAAAATTCAAAACTTGATTTTTGTACCCATTCAGCAAATTCTGCTTACTCAACAAAGACAATCCATTATCACTCATATGGCCAAGTCGCAAGTGCCACAACTGAGACTGATTCAGATAACTTTTCCCAGAAGCTACAACAGCTTCCCCTTCAACTACACTGGCCTGAAGATGATACAATTTAGAATGTAGTTTATCCTTCATGAGTACCATGGAGCCTTTACACACTTTAAGTATTCCATTCTCGAAGTGAAATTTATACCCTTGATCATCCAAAGTCGAAAGAGAAATCAATTTCTCTTTATCCGAGGAACATGCCAACACTCAATGTTTCTGATAATTCTGTCGAACATTCTCAATTTGATATTACCAACCCCCTCTACTGGTAATGGATTATCATCTCCCATATAGATAGTCCCACTCATTTGTTTGTAAGTTGCAAACCAATTCTTGTGTGGAAAGTAGCACCAGAATCAAGAACCCAAGAATTTTGCCCATGACTAGAACTCACAGCACAAACTTCCCCTACATAGTCGCTATCATCAGAATTATTGCCAGTGTCAACAATATTTGCCGAATTATCTATTTTCTGCTTCCCTCTTTTCTCCTTCAGCTTAGGACAATCTTTCTTGTAGTGACCTTGCTCCCCGCACTCATAACAGTGTTGCTTCCTTGCTCTAGACTTTGATCTTGCGATTGACTTTTTCCTGTTAAAGTCCTTTTGTTGTGTTCTTCCTCTAATCACAAGACCCTCGCCCTCAATTCTGCTGTCTGGAAAGCTCTTTTTCAACTCTTTAGATTTTAGTACATTGCTAACATCTTCTAGTGAAATGTTGTCTTTTCCATATAGCAGTGTATCGGCAAAAGTATCATAAGACTGTGGTAAAGAACATAACACAATCAAGGCCTGATCCTCACTCTCAGTTTTGATATCCACATTCTTCAGGTCCATTATAATTGAATTAAACTCATCAAGGTGAGTTTTAACAGGTGTACCTTCGTTCATACGGAGATTTTATAACCTCTTTTTCAAGTAGAGGTGGTTTGTCAGCGATTTCTTAGAATACAGATCTTCCAGCTTCTTCCATGCCGTTGCTGCAGAAGTTTCTTCAGCAATTTTCCGAAAAACGCTATCTGTAACGCTCATGAATATCACACTCAAAGCCCTCTCCTTCAGGTCTTCCTTCTTTGTCTCTTTCATATCTTCAGGAAAATCCTCATCAATTGCTTTCCATAATCCTTGTAACACCAGGGACGATTTCATCCTAATCTTCCATAGAATGAAACTAGAACCTCCGTCAAATTTCTCTACTTCGTACTTTGTTGAAGATGATGAAGACATCTTAACCCTAGATTATATGTAGAAACCCGAACCTTGCTCTGATACCAATTGTTGCGGAATATCGTGGGTTAACTAGCACACAATCACACACAAAGCAAATAGAGAAGAAAAATCAACACAAGGATTTAATGAGGTTCGGCTAAGCCTAATCCTCGGAGCAAAAGCAGAGAGAGTTTTCCACTATGAATGAGAAGAAAAGCACAATACAATCTCTACGATCCCCAACTACAACCCCTATATATAGATCCCAAAATATCCCAAACATATATGAGAAAGGTTTCCCAATTTGACAAGGACTATAGGTTTTCCTTTCCCAAATCTATTAGGACAATGGGTTTTCCTAAACCTATAGGGACTATGGGTTTCCTAAAAATACAAGGAAATAATTCAAGCCACAAATAACACACCTTTTTATTAATCTTCTACTATACCCAGATAATAGAGGTACCTAGTCTTCTAGAAGAAGGATCTGCTCCAGTGAAGAAAAATATCTTGAAACAGAAACAAGAACACCAAACAGCACAGAATAGTTGTTGCTCATGAGAACCTCTCCAAATCTAGGCCGAACCATTGACAAATGTATCAAAGACATGCACTAGATGGGGGCAGTAAACGTCACATTTTCATTTTGGCATTATCGGTTGATCAAACATGTAAATATTCTTTTATCATTTATCTTAGTGCTGCTATTCAAAAGGTAGTACAAATTTAGTGTATAAAACTATTAATAAATGGAAAAGGCCTAAAAATGTCACTCAACTTTCAAAAATGGCATATCCATGCCATCCGTTAAAAAATTGCTATTTCCATGCCACTGTCGTTACAGAAATGGCCCATCTATGCCATTATTTGACTAACGACTGGAATGTTTTTTAAAAATATTTATAAGACTTGAATTTCCACGTGTCCTGTCATTATTGGTCCGAATTAACCCATGCCCCACTTAATTCTAACCTTGGTTAGGTCCATCTACCCAAACCCAACCCGGTTAAAACAAAACCAAATCCCCTTCACTCTCCAGTCGTCTTCCCCAAATCAGCAACCCTAGAACCTCCGTTAAATCCAATTTCTCCATTATCATTCTGAAATTGTAACCCTAGCTCTCTAGCGCATCATTTCACGTTTCCCCCAACGTAACTTTTTATTGTTAAAGAGTTCAAAATGTCTGATGTTTCAAGTGGCTCAATTGACTCAAAGAGGAAGTGTCGTTGTGGATTTGTAGCGCATCATTTTACGGCGACAATTCCTATGAACTGTGGGAGACGTTTTTACAAG